AGTAGTAGTAGTAGTAGTAGTAGTAGTAGTAGGATTAGTAGTAGTAGTAGTAGTAGTAGTAGTAGTAGTAGTAGTAGTAGTAGTAGAGTAGTAGTAGTAGTAGTAGTAGTAGTAGTTAGTATTAGTAGTAGTAGTAGTAGAGTTGAGTAGTAGTAGTAGTAGTTAGTTAGTAGTAGTGTAGTAGTAGTAGTAGGGTGTAGTCGTAGTAGTAGTAGTAGTAGTAGTAGTAGTAGTATAGTAGTAGTTAGTAGTTAGTCGTGTAGTAGTAGTAGTAGTGGTAAGTAGTAAGTCCGTGGTGGTGGTTGTGGTGGTGTGGTGGTCGTAGTACTAGTAGTAGTAGTAGTAGTCGTAGTAGTAGTAGTACTAGTAGTAGTAGTAGTCAGTAAAGTTAGTAAAAGTAGTATAGTAGTAGTAGTAGTAGTAGTCGTAGTAGTAGTAGTAGTAGTAGTAGTAGTAGTAGTAGTAGTAGTAGTAGTAGTAGTAGTAGTAGTAGTAGTAGTCGTAGTAGTAGTAGTAGTAGTAGTAGTAGTAGTAGTAGTAGTAGTAGTAGTAGTAGTAGTAGTAGTAGTAGTAGTAGTAGTACAAGTAGTCGTATCCAAGGCAGCTTGGAGGCCTCTTGGAGATCGTAGAGGGGCCTCTTGGGCTCTCTTTTGAGCCTCTTGGGAGCGTCCGGGGGCCCTCTTGGGCGCCTCTTGGAGCGTTTTGGGGGCATGTTGGGGCCATATTTGGGGTGATCGATCACAGATGGGGCGAGCATTTTTGTCAGTACCCCCGTCGGGGCCACGATCCTCGTGAGGGGTGTCAAATTTTAGCCCTCCCAGGGATAGAAAAAGGACTCTCTGACCACCCGCGAAACCCCCTCTCCAGGTCCAGCGGGAGGGGGTAGGGGGAGGGGTAAACCCCTCCCCGAAGGGGAAAAAAGGGGGGTTGAGAACAGAGGGAGCTCGCTAAACCACTCACGCCCTAAGGGCTGGTGGAATTTTGCTGATAGCAAGGCGTGCCGCAAAGCACTTTTCGCAGGAGAATTGCGGGCCTTGCGAACCGACATTTGCAGTCTTAGTTCGAGCGAGCGGCCGAGCCTCGGCCACGCGGGCGCTGATGCAAAGATCAAGTCTTTCATCCCCAATATTTTAGATCGCACTGATGCTTAGCGGCGCTCGGCCTCCGCGTCCTCCACGCTCCGCCCAGCGGCGCGTGGCGCGCTGATGCTCTAGGCCAGTTTCCTTTCGTAGATCAGGCATCACTTTTCAGTGCATGCTGTCGCCTTGACGAGCTAGCATCAAGGCCTGGTCTTTTCCAGGGAGGCGGCGAGGGGAAAAAAAAAAACGCGACATGGCGTCGCGGATTTCCCAAGGCCGCTTCAACCATCATTTACAATGCTTCTTATGTTGCTGTCTTCTTGGAAATCGTGTTGAGCGCTTACCATTGTGCATTTTTCTTCGGGCTTTGGCATGTAAGCGAGTGCGCCTCGCCATTTTCATTTTCAGACGCCTGTCGGCGGCGGAGCTCGTGCCCTGGCGTCCGCGCCTGGGGCCTCAGTGTCTGGGTGGGCGCCTCCAGAGCCCCAGGGCGTCTAGGGGCCTTGTCTCAGGATCAGGGGCTCCACGGGTTCGGGGCCTCCTGAGTCTCAGGGCCTGCCAGGGCCTAGGGCTTCAATTATCTTGCAGGATTGATTGCTCCAGCGGTTCCACGGGTTCGGGGGCACCAGAATCCCAGGGCCCCCCTCGGCCCAAAGGTTCAGTCTTGGGATCGCGGTGTCCACGAGCTCGGGGCCCCCAGAGCCCCAGGGCCTCCCAGGGCCTAAAGGTCCAGTCTTGGGCTTGCTTGCGTTGCAGGCGCCCCCAGGGAGCCCATATGAGGCCACGTGTGGAGGGGTTGCTAGCCCAGGGGCCCCGGCGCTCCGCGGGGGCTGCAGGGGTCCCCAACGCGTGAAGGCCCAGTCTTCAGCATCCCAGGTCTCAGGGGCCTCAGGGCCTCTTGGATTCGGGGCAGATGTTGTTGGTGGCGCGGCGTAGCTGGCCGTTTGCCCCCGTGCATTGACATCCTCGAGCGGCTCTTGTGCTTCGCTCGAAGGTCTGCGAGGCACTTCGGGGACGATCGAGGAATCCTTGGATCGCCTTGCAGGCTCCGCATTTGGCCTCGGGGGTCGCTCCGAATGCGCGAGGCTCGAAGACAGCGTCAGGCGATGTAGAGCTTAATTAATAATACATTGGCTTAGATGCTATTAAATGTCATTTAAAGCCATTTAAGGCTATCTAAGGCTATTTAAGGCTATTTAAGAGCATTCACGATGATGTAAGAAGATATTTAAGAACCGTCTAGGACTATGTAAGGGCCATTTAACGCCATGAGACATAGCACAGCAGGCCGGCGGCGCCGGCGAAACCCAGACATCGCATGACGCCCCCCCCCCCCCCCCCCCCCCCAAGCTAGCGCCAGCCACGGGCTCGAGGGCGGGTTTCTCCAGCAACACCACGAGCATTCCTCGAGAAGGCAGTTTTCTCCGCCATCATGGCCTTATCGGACGAGCAGGTCCGCCAAGCGATGGCCGACGTGACCGCCAGCCCGGAAGATCGCAGTCTTGCGACAGACGCCCTTCAGAAGCAAAAGAAGGATAAAGAGTTCATACCGTCAGAAGACGAGGTGCGTCTGCATTTGGCTCTCAAGGAGCTGAAGAGCGAGGGCGGCGGCAGGGTGACCAAGAAAACGTTCGACACTTGGCGCCTGAAGATCAGCGCGTTCCAAGTCTGCCAGAAGACGCATTGGATCTTGGAGAAGAGTCGCCGCCCCACCTTGCAGGCAGACCTCGCCAAAAGGCGCGTTGGCGATTTTCAGGCCGATGAGTTCCTCGTGGATCCAGCGTCCTTGACAGCGTTCCCTTCGAACTACGATCCAGAAGAATGGCGGGCGGCGGATGGAGGCTTGCCTCGGGGCGAGCTCGGGCCAGGTTCCGAGGAGTTGGTCTCTGGGGCGAAGGCGTCCTGGACCCCATTTCAAGCGGGGCAGTCGTCGTTGCCCCCGCCCCGGCAGGCGCCCGCCCTGACCGACGCCCCAGCCAGCAGTGGCGCGGGCGGGGCAGACGCTGAGCAAGGTGGCAAGGCCGCGCCCGCCGAGCCGAAGCGCCAGAGGCGCTTGAGGGAAACCCCGTGGGCCACTGAGGAAGAGCACGCCGAGCTCATTCTTCACGCTTCGCGCATCCCCACCAGCCCATCTCAAAACAGCAACTCTTGCGAAGCATGCCGACAGTCGTGTTTTTCAGTCGTGTTTCCGCCTGCCCCCGCATATCCCCCCTGTTCCTCCCCCCCCCCGCCTCCTTGCACATCCTCCTTGTGGTGGCAGCGGGAGAAGGACGAGGCGGGGGAGGAGGGAGAGAGAGCGCTCCTCGTGGTCTGAGTCGTTTGGGGTTTCTCGTCCTGGTGTGAGTCGTTCGGGCCCTTCTTCCTGGTGTGAGTCGTTCGGGCTCTTCGTGGTGTGAGTGGTTCGGGCTCTTCGTCCTGGTGTGAGTCGTTCGGGCTCCTCGTGGTGTGAGTTGTTCGGGCCCCTCGTCCTGGTGTGAGCCGTTCGGGCCCCTCCTCCTGGTGTGACTCGTTCGGGCTCCTCGTGGTGTGAGCCATTCGGGGCCCTCGTCGTGGTGTGAGTCGTTCGGGCCCCTCGTGGTGTGAGTCGTTCGGGCGCCTCGTCCTGGTGTGAGTCGTTCGGTCCCGTCCTTCTGGTGTGAGTCGTTCGGGCTCCTCGTGGTGTGAGTCGTTCGGGCCCCTCGTCCTGGTGTGAGTCGTTCGGGCTCCTCGTGGCGTGAGGCGTTCGGGCACCTCGTCCTGGTGCAAGTCGTTCGGGCCCCTCGTAGTAGGAGTAGTAGTAGTAGTAGTAGTAGTAGTAGTAGTAGTAGTAGCAGCAGTGAGTAGTATTAGTAGTAATAATAGTCTTAGCAGTAGCAGTAGCAGTTGTAGTAGTAGTAACAGTAGTAGTAGTAGTAGTAGTAGTAGTAGTAGTAGTAGTAGTAGTAGTAGTAGTAGTAGTAGTGGTAGTAGTAGTAGTAGTAGTAGTAGTAGTAGTAGTAGTAGTAGTCGTTGTAGTAGTAGTAGTAGTAGTAGTAGTAGTAGTAGCAGTAGTAGTAGTAGTAGTAGTAGTAGTAGTAGTAGTAGTAGTAGTAGTAGTAGTAGTAGTAGTAGTAGTAGTCGTAGTAGTAGTAGTAGTAGTAGTAGTAGTAGTAGTATATGTCTTCTGGGAGCATATTGGAGGCCTTTTGGGGCGTCTTGGGGGGCCTCTTGGCGGCCCCAGGGGCTTCCGGGAGCGTATTGGGTGCCTTGGGGGGGCCTCTTCGGGCTTCTTGGGAGCCTCTTGGAGGCCGTTTGGGGCGTCTTGGGGGCCTCTTGGCGGCCCCAGGGGCTTCCAGGGGCGTCTTGGGTGCCTCGGGGGAGCCCCTTGGGGCCTCTTGGGGGCCTCTTGGGCTCTCTTTTGAGCCTCTTGGGAGCGTCCAGGGGCCCTCTTGGGCGCCTCTTGGAGCGTCTTGGGGGCCTGCCGGGGCCATCTCTGGGGCGATCGATCACAGATGGGGCGAGCATTTTTGTCAGTGCCCCCGTCGGGGCCACAATCCTCGCGAGGGGTGTCGAATTTTTAGCCCTCCCAGGGATAGAAAAAGGACCCTCTGACCACCCGCGAAACCCCCTCTCCAGGTCCAGGGGGAGGGGGTATGGGGGAGGGGCAAACCCCTCCCCGAACGGGAAGAAGGGGGGTTGAGAACAGAGAGAGCTCGCTAAACCACTCACGCCCAAAGGGCTGGTGGGACTGCCAATAACTGCATCGCCGCTTTCATTGCGGGCCGCATCACTTCGAAGAACAAGAGGGCGAATGACACGGTTGAGTTTTGGGTGCGAGGTTGGTTTGATCGCATGATTCGTTCGAGGGAGGAAGCGGCAGGCGTGAGTGATGCTGATTTCGTGGCAGGTCTCGATGGGCACAACAAGTTATTCCTTCCTTTTATCGTGAAGCACTTGCTGGAGGAGCGCTGCTGGGCGCACTTGGGCGGCCTGGTTGACTTGTTCCGACACAGCGATGCGCACTCTCCTGGCCCGTTGCCGCCCATCGGGAATGTGATCTATGAGATTTGGGGCGTCAGCGGCGACATCATGAACATTCCCGCGGTGAAGAGCCTGACCCTGAAGGCCAGGGGCACGCTCTTCTCTTCCCCCTTGTGCGAGTCGCCCCTGCCAGTGAAATGGGAGGCCGATTATCAGGCGACCTTGAAGCAGGGCTTGGGAGCGACAGCCCGCGAGCAGCTCGAGATGCTCTTGGAGGATGCCAACGCGAAGGATGAGGACAAGAGCGGCCTCCTGGAGTTTGCACTTGTCTACAAGACCAAGGCGGGCGACGGCTGTTTGGCGTGGGCCCTCGATCCGTCAGTCGGGCTCGTGCGCTTGCGCAGGCTTCTCGCGTGGGAGCCTAAGCATGAGCGGGGCTTCGCCGTGCCGCTTCTGGACAAGAAATCCAACTGGCAGGACTGCGACCCCGACGCGGTGGCCGCAGGGGCTCGTTTTCTGGGCGAGGCGAACTACCCGCTGGAGCAGCTCCCAGGGAAGTCTGCGAGCAGCCCCGCTAGGGACTACAAGGCCATTGCAGACCTCATGGAGTCAGTTTGGGTACGTCGTCCCTGGGCTGAGATGTGCCACCTGCGTCTCGGTACTGCGTTGGAGGCCGCCCAGCCGGGTGCCATCATGCCGTGGGAACCCTTGGATCAGCATTCCTTCGACGGCGCGGCGTGCAAGCTTGCGAGGGCGCACAGGCAGAAGATGAAGAAGGTCCCCGCGAACATCTCCGCGATTACAGCTCTGGCATCAGTGCAGGAGCCGCCGGTTGCAGCCGACCCTCCGACTCCGGCGGCGAGCCCCGCGGATGGAAAGAAGGATGACGGCGTCGTGGGTGCCGCAGGACATTCTATCCCTGCGGATGGCGCCGCTGCAGGCGAGGGGGGCAGCGCCCTCGCGGGGGCCGCCGAGCCCGTGGAGCCCCCTTTGAAGAAGTGCAAGATAGAGCCGCAGGAAAATGGGGGTGCCGAGGGCCAGCAAGGCGCAGAGGCCTGCGACGCAGCGGGCTCGGTGGCGACTGCAGGCGCCGAAGACGCTGAGCAGTTGGTGCCCGCTGGAGGCGCGGGAGCCGCTTCTGCGGCACAGCCCGCGGAGCCCCCCCGTGCGGACGCGAGCCCGGTCGAGCAGAAGCCAGCGGCCGAACCCGCCAAGGCTGGCGAGTTCAAAGTCGGGGACCACGTCCGCATCTCTGCGACCAAGAACGTGGCGCAGTATAATCAGAAAAAAGGCCGAGATCCTCAAGCTGTATTACGGGCGCGCCACGCCCGCTGCGTCGCTTCTCATGCTGGAGGGGGGCGACGGGATAAAGGGGAAGAAAATCGAACGCCCCCTCGGCGTGCTGACGAAGGCCCCCAGCGAGGCTGCGCCTGCCGCGGGAGGCGCGGCGAGCTCGGCTGGCGCCAAGGAGAGCGAGGCTGGGGGCCCAGAGACTGGCGGGGCTGAGGGGCCCGCGCAGAAGAAGGTGAAGTCCGAAGATAAGGCTCGCGAGTTGTTCGGCGACCTCTCCGAGGAGGAGGGGGCGGCGCAGGTAGAGCAGCAGAGCCCGTCTTGAACTCCGAGCTCTTCTGAGAGGCCATGCGGGACATGGCAGTAGGTTTTGGCTAGTTGGTTTGATGTCCTAGTGCCTATGTAATCCACGACGCTCCGCGTCAACTCAGCAGGGCCAGCGGCGCCGCGAACATTGCGAGCATCTCCAAGTGGCTGTCCTGGAAGAGTCCCTTGAGCTGTTTCTTCTTCTGAGCATTCTAGGAACATTCGAGGCCCTCCTGGCGCCATCCAGGAGAATGCAAATCAAAGGCGCGGTCGGGGTCGACAAGCACTGCGCCTTCAAGAACTCGGCGCGCCCCCCCCCCCAAAAAAAAAAAAAAAAAACACAAAAAAAAACTACTTAAGAACATCGTCGGTATTAGCTGAATGTGATCTCACGGGCCTCGGACCCTCTCGCCCACGTCCAAAACGAGGGGGCGTGGAGGGCGGGGGGGCCCTCCCCGAAGGGGAAGAGGGCAATGAGAAGCGCCCAGAGCCACCTGCGACCAGAAGGTTGGTGGGATTCTTGCGCAGCTCCGCCTAGTCGGCGGAGGCGCGCGCGGTAGCGCGCCGGCGTCGAATCTTCGCGGGGCGACCGCAGCACGAGGCGCGTGAGATTGGCGTCTGACAGGGCAGTGAATCATCAGCCCCGTTGCATTCTCACCATCGTTCGGAATGTAACCCTCCCGAGAGGGCTCAGCCACAATTTCCCATTCGTGTGCTTACGGCTTCTCATTGAATCATTGGTTGCGACCTAGGTGATTGCCAGGGCGGAGGCCAGGGGGGAAAAACACGTCACGGCGTCGCGGAATCTCGAGAAGGCCTCTCCAGTCACCCCTGGCAGTGCGTATGCTTAGATCTTCTCAGTTTTCAGTTCGCTCGCATCTTGTCTGTGTGGTTGGTGCGCCATTATACTAGCCTCACCATTTTCATTCTCAGATGCCTTTCGGCAATGGAGCTATCTCGAGATGCCTTTTGGCAGTTATCCCTGCCCGTTTGAGGTTTAGGTTCTGACCATCCGCGTTTCGGGGGCTCAAGGGGCACTGGGCCTTCAGAGTCTCAGGGCCTCCCTGGGTCAAGGGGGTCAGTCTGGTGATCAGTGGCAGGGTTTTAACATGTATTGGAAGGCCGCTCGTTCAGAAACTCGGGTCTCCCACGAGCTCCAGGAGGTCTGGGTTTTGGGAGCTTCTGGACCTTTCAGGGCGATGGGTCCCAGTCTCGGGGCCGAGGGCCCAATAGCGGGGCCTGCGGCCTTCCAGGGCGTCACCGTCCGCTCAGCAAGTCGGGTGCCCCACGGGCCTGTTGAGTCCTTCGGCCTCCGATGCCCTAGGGCCCCAGGGCCTCCCAAGGCCCAGGGGCCCAGTTGATTCAGGAATTCCAGTGCCCCTAACTCCGTGATGGCATGACGCGTTTTTCCCCTTCGACGTCTGT